CTCCTCCTCCTCCTCCTCCTCCTCCTTCTTCTTCGCATTTTTAGTATTATCATTACTATTATTTGCATTTTCATCAATGTCTATCATTCTTGCTGTTACCTTCATTATTCATCACTGTCATTATCTATATTATCATTATCTTATTAGTCAGGCATACCTTCCAAAACCTTTTCCCGTACTAATGTTTCGACAGATTTTGACAATAATAGTGCAATGTCTTTTTATGACCTTATTGTGTTGCAAGTGCCGTACAACTCTTACTAAAACTAAACATAATGATATGTTTAAACAAGAAGCTTTCGTTCTGTATTCAGCCAACCAAACATAGTGCGATGTTTTAATAACACACCTTCGCTCTGTATGTAGCCATTTTAACGTAGTGCAGTGTTTCAACACCAATCTTTGCCTCTCTATTTAACCAATCAAACATCGTGCGATGTTTAAAAGAAGTATTTAAACAACAATCTTTTGGCTCTGTATTAATCAAACCAAACATAATGCGATGTTTCATGAAGCAACAAACATTCGCTTTGTATTTTGCCAATCAAACATAGCACAGTGTTTAAACAACAAACTTCGGGTCCGTATTTAACCAACTAAAGGCAGTGCGATGTTTAAACAACACACCTTCGCTATGTATCTAGCCAACCAAACTGTATTAGATGTTTAGACAACAAACCTTGAATCTGTATTTAACCAACCAAACATAGTGCGAGGTTTAAAAGAAGTATTTAAACAACAATCTTTGGCTCAGTATTAATCAAACCAAACATAATGCGATGTTTAATTGAACAAAACACCTTCGCTTTGCATTCAGCCAACCAAACATAGTGTGATGTTTAAACAACGACCTTTTGTTCTATATTTAGCCAACCAAACATAGTTTGATGTTTGAACAACACACCTTTACTCTATTTAACGAACCAAACATAGTGCGATGTTTAATTGAACAACACACCTTCCCTCTGTATTTAGCCAACCAAATATAGCGCTATGTTTAACCCTATCCGTACGTCGTGTTTTACTAGCATATCCATACGATGTGGGGAACTCTGTGCCACTTCTTTCCAAAGAGGTAATTTACCCGTTAATCCCATCTGTACACATCGCATAACAGACTGTCAAAATGATTTTTTTGAGAAATACTGAAAGTTTCAGAGAGATAATCGCACTAGAAGTATTCTAAAATTTATGAAAAATGTGAAGAATATAACCCCGGGGTGCAAAATGACCTCAGGGTGTAAACATATAGGTCTAAACAACAAACCTTCACTCTGTATTCATTTAACCAAACATAGCGCAGTGTTTAAACAACAAACCTTCGTTCTGTATTTGGCTTTGAAGTAAGGAAGAGCCCCTTTGGCCAGCACCGGCACTAAGGCACGCTGCCACTCCACCAAGCAACGACCATCCAGGCTGGGCGAGGCAGGGGGAAGCGACTCCATCAGCTGGACCAGGTCTTGGGCGAAAGGCGGAAATTTGTCATCTTCTTCTTCTTCTGGGATCTTTAGGGGTGGACTGGTCGTCTCCCTGGAGAAGGTTCGGTCAGGTAGTTCTAGTTTTGGTTTAGAAGACGTTTTAAGGTTCTTGCAACTGAATAAAATTATATTGGAGAGAGAAATACCACTCTGATTTCAGTCACATACAGTTGTTAGGTGGGGGGGGTAGAGTCTGGATAATATGTTCGGAACACATGAGGTATTTAGTTTAGTTTTAGTAAGAGTGTTACGGCACTTGCAACACAGCAAGGTCACTTGAAAAACGACGATTAGAGGTGTTACAAGAGAGTAACAAATACCCAAAAAAAGGAGGAGGAGAGAGAAGGTTGATAGTTGTTTTTTTATAGGAAATAAGAAGAAGTCCACAAAAAGCACTCGCCAGCCACCCACTATTATAAGAATGCCAAACACCACGCTGATTTCAGTCACATACAAACTGCGATGGATTCAGAATATGTTCGGAACACATGACGAATTACTTAGTTTTAATAATAAAATGTTCACGGGACTTGCAACACAACAAGGTCATATGAAAACCGCCGATTAGAGGTGTGACCTGAGAGTATCAAACACATGAAAAGAGGAGGGGAAGTTGGGCTAACAGACGTTTGATACGAAAGGAAGAGCTAAATAAACCGAAGCACTCGCAAACCACCCATCTCATCGGGTTTAAACATTCATGATAATGTGCTTTACACAGGAAAATAAAATGTGTCCATAAATTTGCAAAAGTAGCGGGAACCAATGATTCTTAACCTTGTTAGGGATACTGAACCTTACAAGATATACACGTCGTGCGTTCACCGGGCTCTGGAGCTTTGATGAAGGCAACCACAACGCAAACACAACACACACACACACACACACACACATACACACACACTCTCTCACATACACACTCTCAAACACACACACACACACACACACACACACACACACACACACAA